GCTCCACCCTCCTCCCACTTGCCTGAGGAGACATCAGTCACATATGGTCACTGGAATTTGAAGGCAGGATTTAACGCTGGTGATTTCTCATAGTTGAATAGTTGTTTTTGTTTTTTGTTTTTGTTTTTTAAGATTTATTTATTTGTTCATACAGAACTGGGGTATAGGCCAGAGGTGCAGGCGTGGTGAGAGGATTCACCAGAGACAGAGTGGGGAGCAGAACAGGCAGATCATCATAGTACACTGCTGAGAGGAGCAGTGGGCGGGTCAGGAGAGGTCTGCCACCATGTGGATCACCTCCGGGGCAGGGATCGAACTCATGTGGAAGTGGCTTTAGCTTCTTAGTGCTGTGCTTTAACCTGCTGCGCCACCAGGGAGGGCCCTGAATAGTTTTTGAGAGGAAATTTTTAGTCCATCTCTTTCATAGACCTGCCTTGTTTTCTCTGTTCTAGAGTACAGAGTTCCTTTGCATGCCATTGTCATGACTGCAGCAGAGAGGAACTTACAGAACTCCACTCTACCAGCACCTGCAAGAGCAAAAGGCACAGAAATTGAGCCTGCACAGAAATTCCTTCTTCAGCATCACACCCATGCTGTCTCCTCCTTTCCAGGTCTTCTCTATCTCTACCCAAATATCTTCTGGACTTTTGATGACTCAGCAGTGTCCTTTTTGGGTCCCAGCTATTGACAAGGAATAGCGTAGTAGCAGGAACAGCAGTGGGGGAAGACATCCATCCCTGACCTTTCAACAGTGCTGGTCCCCCCACCTGCTCTCTTGTTTGACTTTGGTGTCCAGGAGAGGGTTTAGCAGAAGTCTGACCTCACCAAGTCGTTATTGACTGTCCCCTTTCAAATGGACCTAAAATGGAGCCAACTTATTTGTTTATGCATTCATTTGTTCAACCAATATGTAGTGAGCGTGTTACTGAGCCAAGAGTGCATCTAAATATTGGAGTTACCAAAAAAAAAAAAAAAAAACTCTACCTTGTGAGATTTATAGTCTCATGGGTGGGATATTAAGTTATTGAGCAATGACCAAACAGTGTGGAAAAGTTATGGTGGCAGAGAGACTTATACGAATACACAGTGGGGTACTGAAATTTTGCCTTTTACTAAGTCAGGAAATATCATTTACAAAGCTTGCAATACAACAGGAATACGTGAGTCAAATGTTAAGCCCAGGATCATGTTTGAAGTTTGGAGCCCTTTTTTCATTTTATCATTTTTAAATATTTTAAATATTGCTTTAGCTTAAAAAGCATAATAGTCTATACTCAATTCTGTCAATTTCACTACTGCCTTCCAGACATTTTTCTTATGAAGATCATCTTATACATTACTTTCTCTTTTTTATTCAGATTCCCAGTACTGGGATTACTACATCCCTGTGAATGCCAACTTTTGTCAACTGGCTTTCCAAAAGCCAGTTATCATATCTGTTTCCAGCATCATGTACCAACTTCACTGAGTAATTGACATTTAGCCTTTTGAGGTTGTTGGTGCTGCTGTGAATTTAATTATTGTAAATTGTGTCATGTTTTATCTGTATTTCTTGAATGTATTTACTCATTCATACAAGAAATATTGAGTGCCAGCTATGTGTCAGCACTCCATTAAGTTTTGGGGATAAACAATGTTTTTTTTGAAACTTGTGCCCAAGCAAGCAGCTGTTGGAGGGAGAGCTCTGAATTAGAGCATTATAATCAGAAATAAATTTGTAATATTTGCAGCAACATATATATATATGTACATATATACATATATATACACACATATATATAAGATGACAATATAATATATATATGTTATATATATATATAAGGTGACAATATAATGAGATTTTAATACATGAATTAGATATTCAACATTACTATTAAAAAAATCTGTTCTTTTATACTCTTACTAATTTTCTTACCAGATACACTTGTGAAAATTCTATTGCATTATAAAGAAAAAGTTCACTGGTAAGGAAAATTCTGCTGGCAGTTTGATTGAAATTATATAAAACCTATAAATCAACATAGGACGCACTGGCATCTTTCTAACATTTCTGCTATCATGAGCCACATCTTCATTCATTGATATTTTGTCATACAGTTTTATAGATTTCTTTTTACAAGTTCAAAAATAAACTTCATAACTCCTATTTTCCTATTTTATTGCTATTTTGTTCTTTTTTGTTTCTTAACTACATTTTTTTTAAAAATTGCAGTCATTAGTGTACAAAACCATATAAAGTTAACAATTATGGGTTCAAACTTCTTCATATGTGTGTTTTCATATCCACCACACCCAACATCCAGTTACCCATAGTCATTCCCCATAGCCCACTGGGGCTCTTCCACACTTGGACAGAATTTTTCTAATTAATTGAACATTTTTTCTTACATCATTGTAATCCCCATAATTGTCCCACCACCATATTATTTGTGAACCATTGCTATATTCCCTTGTGTGATCCCTCCCTCTCCCACCCCCTCCTTTACTGTATATCTCAGTTCTATGGTCAGCTTGCTACTTTTGGCTCTTTTTTTTTTTTTTTGACCCTTTGTTTCTACATGTAAGTGAGACCATCCAGTATTTATTTTTTCCCTTTTCCTTCTGACTAATTTCAGCTAGTGTTGTCCCTTCCAGCTCCACTGATGTTGCTGCAAATGGCATGGATTTTCCTTTTTGTTGCTGAGTAATATTCCAGTGTATAAATATACCACAAATGTTTTATATGTTTGTTTATTTGGAAGCATTTGGTTTGTTTCCTTATCTCAGCTATTGTAAATTGTGCTATTATAAACATAAGAGTGCAGGTTTCCTTTCAAATTAATGTTCTTTGGATAGATTCCTAGGAGCAGAATTTTTCACTATAATCTCAAACTGGTAATTGACAGTATTCAAAGATTTCATTATTTTGGATATTTTTCTTCAGTCCTTTAGCTAATTCCTATTCAGACATTTCTAACTGTGCCACTACATGGCATAATCAAGCAGTGCCAATATGGTGGGACTGAGTAAAGGATGAATAATGATATAAATCAATAATACTTCAGTAAAAAGAGTAATGAGTTTTAACCTTGCCTTTCAAAATGTATGCCTTTTACTTTTGTTACTAATGTTGGTATCAAGCTACTACAAATGATAAGGATAGCAAGCACCTTAGTTCTAGCTCCAATTTGAATGACAGGTTTAATGATGTTCTGTATATACAATATTGACTGTCAATCAAGAACAAATATTCCCTGTTATGTTAAGTAAGTATTCCTCTGATTCTATTTGAGCAATGATTATTTTAAGACTAGATAATGATTTTTTTTAAAGATTTATTTATTCATACAGAACTGGGGTACAAGCCAGAGGTGCAGGAGCAGTGAGAAGCTTCACCAGAGACAGAGTGGGGAGCAGAACAGGCATATCATGAAGTAAATTGCTGAGGGGGACAGTGGGCGAGTCAGGAGAGGTCTGCCGCACCATGTGGATCACCTCCAGGGTAGGGGATCGAACATGCACTGCAGTGGCTGCAGCTAGCTTGTAGTGCTGCATCCTAACCCTTTACGCCACCAGGGAGGGTCCTAGATGACGATTTTTAATATCTATTCTAATACCTCTGCACTTATTGTAAACACATAATTTAACATTTGACATGGTTAGTCAATTTCCATATATATATAGTTAATTTAATTCTGATGGAGATCTTACTTGTTATTAATGTAAGGATAAAAATATTTTACACTAAAAAAAACTCATGCTTTTTGCAGCAACATGGATGGAGCTGGAAGGATCATGCTTAGTGAAAAAAGCCAGAAAGAAAAATATATATATATATACTAGATGGTTTCACTCAATGCAGGAGTATAAGGGATCAGGGGCTAGAGAGAGAGAAAGAGAGAAACAAATGTAATAGAGTAAAAAGGAAGCAATAAACAACTATGGGGTGACATTTTATGGGGGTGAGGAGGGAATTGGGATTGGAACAGGGGTGGAAAGAGTGCACTGGACTGTGGTGATAGCATGTGGGTGAATTGGTGGTGGGAAGCCCATGGGGTTTACAATTGAGATGGAAATATGTATAAAATGAAGAATGATGTAAAAAAAAAAAACCCCACTTATATGAACAATAAATTTAAGACAAATGAACCAAGAGAATACAACGGAGAAAGGAAAGTCTCTTCAATAAAAGGTGCTGGGAAAACGTGAGAGCATGTCCAAAAGAATGAAATTAGACCACTCTTTGCTATCATACACAAAAAAATTAATTCAAAATGGATTGGAGACTTGGAGATAAGACCTAAAGTTAGAAACTACCTAGAAGAAAATAGGCAAAATACTCCATGAATTGGCTTCATGTCGTGGGGGATGTCTCTGGGGCCTGGAATCCACCAGCAATGCCAAGAAAAGCAAAAATATGTAAATGGGACTACAGCAAACTAAAAAGCTTCTGTACAACAAAGAAACAATCATTAAGCCAATGACACCTACTGAAAGGGAGAAATATTTGCATGTCATACATCTGACAAGTGGCTAATATCCAAGGTCCACAAAGAAACTCATACAGCTCAACACAAAGAAAACAAAGAACTTAATAAAAAAATGGGCAGAAGTTCTAAATAAACACTTCTCCAAAGAAGACATAAAATGGCCAACAGCCACATGAAAATACGTTCACCATCCCTTATCATCAGGAAAATGCAAATCAAAACCATATCCATGAGAATGACTCACAGCAAAAAGACAAGAAACAAGTGTTGTTGAGGATATAGAGAAAAAGGAGCCCTTGTACACAGTGGGTGGGAAGGCAGACAGTCCTGCTGTTATGGAAAACAGTAAGGCAGTTTCTCACAATACTAAAAATAGAACTATCCTCTGAGCCAGCAGTTCTATTCCCAGGAATGCAAAAACAGCAATTCAAAAGGAAAGAATATATGTACTTTACATATGTAAAGTCAGCACTCATAAATATTAGCATTTCTATTATTTCATTTTTCTATGCTACTATAATACATTCCTAATTAAAAAGCTAGGGGCCTATCTGTTGCATCAGCAACACCACACTGATACAGAAACAGGATGGTGAGGCAGTCAGCACAACGCAGGATGCTGCTGAAAAGCAAGATACTGGCCTTTTTGACAGAATAATCATCCAGCATCAGTTGAAAGAGAACTAAGAGAAAAGAGGGAAGGTAACTGTTGTTTATAGTTTCAGGGGTTGTGAATCTGCCCTCTAGACACTTCTCATCTGCTTGATGACTCAGTGTTGTAACTGACATCAAGCCCTAGTTTCCCAACCAGGGTTTTAATCTCACCAACAAAGCCTTCTACTGAGCAGCTTCTGACGCACCCAGTAGACTTTGTTTTTGTCTTCTTCCTGAAATAAACTCTTCATTACTTTGCTTGGACAAGTTTTGTTTCTCTCTGCTTGTGTATCTAAACAGTCTGAATTTTTACAGGTTCTGGAGACAAGAACTCATTGTGGATAAAGGATTACCCAGGAGAGCAGCAGCAGCAGCTGGAATCCCAGTAACAGTGCTCACTGGCCTCAATTTTACTCATAGGTGCTGCATAAAGAAACAAATGAATGAACTAAATGAAATTGAATTTCAAATTCAAAACCAAATCAGGAGCTCTCCGGCCCACCTGTGGCAATGTAGCTCTCTTTTTCTCATTTTCCTAATAAACCTGTCCTTTAAAAATGTAAAAATAAAAAAAGAGAGAGAGAAAGAAAGAAAAGGAAGCCAAATTAGTGGCATTTATCAGAGGAAGGGGTCAGAAAGTTGGGTAAATCAGGTAAAAGGGATTAATTGCATGGATAAATTGTAGGATAAAACGAGACTTTTGTTGGTGAACTTAACGTTGTAGCTACAGATACTGATTCTTAATGATGCACACCTGAAGCTTATTTAATGTTCTAAACAAGTTACTTCAATAAAGTTTTTAAAGATATAGTATGTAGACATGACGGTACACTATTGAGTATATAATATCACTTAAACAAACAAACAAACAAAACCCAGAGAACAAAAATGTTCTTCCAGTAATATATCCTATTTGCTTGTTTTGGTGATTGCCAGGACACAGACAATTTCAGGGGGTCACTGGAACAGGACAGGGCTCACACCCTTATAGCTGTTAGAGAAAAATCAGCTTCAACAGGGGATTCTGTCGCTGGGGTGCTGACCAGGGAGCCAAGCCTGTGGGAGGTCAGAAAGAGGAGCAGATCATTTTCTCCTTCCTGGACCGGCCAAAAAGAAAAAACCAGAGGTTTTGGGGCAAATGTTTATTTTTCAATCCTTTCGATTTCAACCTTCTGACAAGTTTCTCAATAACCACAACTTCTTCCTTTTGTGACTACTTCCCTCATTCCTTTTTCACTCCTCACACCATATGTAAAGCAGCCCTGTCTTAGCTGAGGAGCTGAGGAAATTGCCTTGTTGAAGTAGAATTGAGTTCATTATCCATGGATAGGCAAGAAAGGCAAGATGGGTTTTAACAATGGCGATGTAGGTCCACTCAACTTCCTTTAATCTAAGAAAGAGGGCGGGAAGAATTGACAGTTTTGGGGAATAATAGTTCATAAACATGATCTAGCTACAAAAAAAGACAGCACTGGAGGCTCAGACACTACAGTGACCTGCATGGAGCTGCAGCATTGTCAATTATCAACGAATCCAAAAATCTTTCTTTATCAACAAGGTGCTGGGTTTGACTTGCATATTAAGAGAAGTTCCCCTATAAACGTGCAATGAAAACAAATAAGTGCTCCACTCCACATTCCACCATGGCCACAATGCAAAATGAAGCTGTTTTCTAGACCGTATGACCCAAGAGCCGTGGTTCTGTCAGGTAGGAACTCCAGGATGCCAAGCTGTCCCTCACTGCTAGAGTGTTTGCCACTGGCAGTTACTGTCTTTAATTCTTTTCTCAGACACCTAATTTTCAGAAGCAGTGACTATCACAACACTTTACTTTGAAGAAGGTAATTGGAGATGTGGCCACTCATGAGCATTTCCTTTCTTCAGAACAGTTTTAGTTTTGTGTTTGGAAAAATTTAGAGACGTCTCAGCAGACATCATTATGTCCTTTAACCCATGAATACAAAAGGGGATTTTAGCAAATGAATATATCTCTATACCCTGTCAGATAACTCTGGCATACTAGAATAGCACAAACCGAAGTACACAAACGAAAGTGCCTTCATGTTTGTCTATCTTACACAAAGTGGGTAATAAGTTAGAGCCTTCGTGCACAAAGTACTCATATGATTCGCTAGGAGTGGGTTCCAATTACTGGAAGTAGCAAGAAATTCTTATTCTAAACTGTAAACTGATTATATTTTTAAAAGAATATGGACTACAACACATAAATTGTCATCAGTTTCAGTGATAGACATACAAATCAAATGTTAAACAAAAAATAGAATTTCTATCATTTTTATTAAAAACTTTAAAAATTAAGCCACTAGACTTGAAATTTATGTGTGTTTCAGGGACTAGAGGTAAAGCTTCTCTGGAATAGGATTGTGAGGAAATAGAGAAGCATATAAATTTCTTTTCAAGAAAAATATTTAAATACAGGGATACATCACTGTGCATTATATGATTAGAGTACATCTATGTGTTGCATATTTAAAGGCATGAAAAATGTCTAAATACTTTAACTGAATGGTGTTAATAGGGCTGGAGCCTAAAGGCATATGTCCTGACTGTCTCAGGCCTCTTTGACCAGTGAGCAAGTAGAAATGTGTCTGTGGTAAAGCTAGAAGCCCACTTCAAATATGACTTTGTAAGTCTGCTACAGTTAAGCTTTCCAGCTGGTAACAATTACAAATGCTGGTGTAATATAGAAAATAAGTACCTAAGTATTCTGAGGAATAAAAGAGCAGACAAACCATGAAGGGGAGTTGAATTTTGAAGTTACTGTCATAGGGGTGAGTTTTTCACTTTTTGTGGATTTCACCCAAGTGCAGGTTGCAGCTTGAAGAGGAATTTACAAGTGGTTAAAACTTGATTAGAAAGTTTCCTGTCTTTCTGACCAAAGGAGCCGGATTAGTTGCAGCTAAGAAAGTTGGAGAGGAATACTAGAAAATAGAAAGCAAAAGGAAATCTCCCTTAAGTTTCTGTATGAATTTTGCAGAAGTTTCTGGCCTGTACTGGAACCATACATGCAAAAGACTGTTTCAAAGGAGTGCGCAGAAAGCTAAAGGAAGGAGTTAAAGCCGAAACCACCACTTATGGAAAAAAGACAGAGCTTATGCACTGGCTCTCACTGTGTCAAATGTCAGCTAAAATAAAACATCAACATTCTCGGGATGAACGTAAGAAAAGGCAGCATCTAGACACAATAACGTATGTTTCCAATATCCAAGGTATGGTGCAAAATTACTCAACATATGTGGGACCAGAAAATATGTTCAGCTTTGTAGAAAAAAAAGACAACCAACAGATGCAAGTTCAAATTCCACTGGTGCTGGATTTACTAGACACGAATTTTAAAGTAGCTTCTATAATTATATTTAACAAGGTAAGGAAAAATACACAAAATGAATGAAAAAGCAGAAAATGTCAGCATAGTCAAATTTTTTTAAGATTTATTTATTTATACATACAGAACTGGGGTACAGGCCAGAGGTGCAGGGGCCGGTGAAAGGATTCAGAGTGGGGCACAAAGCAGGCAGACTGATGAAGTACATTCCTGAAGGGAGCAGCAGGTGAGAGAGGGGAGGTCTGCCGTGACACGTGGGTCACCTGGCAGGGTGGGGGCTGGGGGGGAGGATTCAATGCCCACGGAAGAGGCTGCAGCCAGCTTGTAATGCTGTGTCCTGACTCGCTGTGCCACGAGGGAGAGCCAGAATAGTCAAATATTTTAAAAGCAAAAAGGTAGAAATAAAATGTGTAATATTTGAAATAAAATATGAATGAACTTTATAGCAGCCTATATGGACTGAGGTGGGAGTCAACCAATAAAAATATATTAATGTAAATTAGTCCGGAAAATAAAAAAAAAAAATCATTGGAAAAAATAAACAGAAACTTAGGGACATATGGGGCAATATTGAAACGTGTAAGGAGAGAAAGCTGACTGGACAAAAAAGTCATATGAAGAAATTACAGTGGCAATATTCCAAAATTTGGTGAACAATATACCTTTACAGATTTGAGTTCAGTGAACTCCAAACAGAATGAGTTAAAAGATGACCACACTTAAGACCATTACAGAGTATTATTGCTGAAAAATCAAATAAAAAGAAAATCATGAAAGCAGATGGAGAAAAATGCCACATTATTTATGATTGATTTCATTGTTAATATATTTATGTATATATTTATGTATATATATAGTCCATCATTGTTCATTTTTGTATAATTGCTTTCTCCACTCAGATGTAGTCCCCACAGAATTCCCACCACCAATCACCCATGCGTCATCACCATAGTCCTCTGTGCACTTTCCTCCCCTGAGCAGACCCCTCTTCCTCACCATCCCCTGCAGAATGTCTCTGACTTATAGTTGATAGTTGCCAGCCAAATTTTTATTAATTTTCCCCCCGGTCCCTTTGGTTCCCCTATATTCCTCTGATAAAAGAAAACATCTTCTATTTTGCTTTTTCCTTCTGACTTATTTCACTGAGCATAATCCTTTCTAGCTCCATCCATGTTGCTGTGAATAGCCTGCGTCTATCTTTTTTGATTGCTGAGCAGCATTCCATTGTGTATACGTATCAAATCTTTTTGATCCAGACATCTATTTTTGGGTATTTGGGTTATTTCCATATCTAAACTATTAAAAAAGTACTGCAGTAAACATAGGGGCACAGGTATCCTTTTGAATTAATGTTTTTTGTGCCATTGGGGTAAATGCCACATTATTTAAAGAAGAATAATGAGTTGAATGGGTTACAGCCTTCTCTCAGAAACCACAGTGAAACAGTGAAATAACATCTTCAAAGTATTGAAAAAATAACCTGTCAAGCCAAGGTTCTGCAATCAACAAAAATAGCCTTCAAAAATGAATGCAAATTAGGAAAAACATCTTGGTTAAAGAAAACCTACAGGCTTGCTGTCAGAAGACATGTACAAGAAGTTGGAAATAATTGAGAAGCTCAGATCTTCAAGAAAAATTAAAGCCATGAAATAGAAAAGTAACAGATTACAATACCTAAATGAT